AAATCACTAACAGAATATATTTTAATTTTAATTAAAATAAATTTTATAAAAAAAATTAATGTAATTATTTTTTTTGTAAATGTAAGTAATTTTTTGTTACATTTGTTTAATTTTATAGATGCAAATATTTTTTTGTTCAAAAAATATTTAAGGACTTAATCGTTCAAAATATGAATGTTCATTGGGGATTTTTTCGGACTTTTGTCACTATTTTATCACTTTAATTAGTTGTACAAGTCATAAGAATGTATCCAACAGGTTTTAGAAAAGTCTAAGGAGTTAATTAACATGTTTTGGATTGTCCAAAGACTTATTTGTTCCAAAAATTATTCAATGAGTTATTTAACATGTTTTATATTGTCCAATGACTTATTTGTTCCAAAAAAATTGTCCAAGGAGTTATTTAACATGTTTTGGAATGTCCAATGAGTTATTTGTTCCAAAAAATTATCCAATAATTTAATCATTCCAAACACTAAAGTCCATTGGGATTTATTTAGACTTTTTCCTTCTTCTATATATCTTTTAGAATATGCATTTGGACGTATGAATAAACGAATCTTTCTTGTTTCTACTTGAATCGTTGATTCTAAAAAGTTATGAAGATGATTCTTATTCACTTACAGATTTGTTTCATAAGCTCCTCCATTTACGGATGAAGTGAAACAGTCGTCTGTTGGAGGGATGAGAAGTGAAACAGTCGTCTGTTGGAGGGATGAGAAGTGAAACAGTATTTTGGAGAGAATTTGAAAGCTTCATTATCCTTTAATCATATTCATGACATGACCAAAGAATATTAATTTAATTAACTAAATATTGATTAAAAATGATAAAAATGGAAGAGAAGAATGAAAACTTGAACTAACTACTATTTTTGGTATGGAATGAGAGAAAAAGGTTGTTACTTGATTGCTTTCATGAAACTAACATACTCAAGACTTGATCAAAACAAGGCTTTGCTGATATATAAACGCACATCACACCTGCATGCTTCTCCGATACTTTTCCATTTCCATACAAAATCAAGCATGGATGGTCTCTTCCGCTTAAAAGCCGGCCACCTCACGCTCACGCTGCTTCCCAATCAAATCCCATCTCACCGGACCACCACAGCTTGTCATTTCTCAAGAGCACCTCTTACATCTTTGTTCGCTGCTAACTCTAACTGTCATCATGTGGAAGACACAGTTCCCGGGAGGAAGGCCCAAAATCAGAATTGGGTGATGAGGGTTCTGCAAATGAGGTCTTTATGGAAACCAGAAACCAAGAATCACACACTTGAACAAGGGGATGAGAAGGTCCGTGTGGAGAATGAAAAGGATCATGACATAATTACTGATCAAGACTCATGTGATGCTGATGCATGCAGGGTAGACGACCAGGATCATATACTCGAATTCGATAAGAATTCGTTCTCAAAATTGCTTTCTACAGTTCCTTTGCCTGAAGCAAGGTTGTATGCTAAGATGGCTTATTTGGGTAGCTTATCTTACACCATACCAAAAATAAAGGTACCCCACCCACACCCATCTCTTCTAAACATTAGTTTTCTTGAATGTGCATGTCTCTTGTTTCGGTATCAATTTACTAATTAATGCAGATCCTCGCTTGGGAAACTTCTTTTTTTAAATTTATCGTATATATATGGTGCATGATGTTAGAGAAACCGTTTAAATTCTGATGATGATTTGGAGGCCTAAATATGTAGCTGAAACTTTTGTTATCGCAGAAATCTTGTTAATTTGAAATATGTCTTCACTGATATCAACAAAAGTAATTAGCTGCAACATTTCATCTTGTTATTTGGACAGCTTGGGAATCTCTTGAAACGTCATAGACTCCGTTTCATTACATCTTCGCTAGAAAAGAAGACCGAGCTGGCTGCCAAACCCAAGAAAGAACAACAAGGACATCAAGGCAGCACCAAAAGGAAAGAAGCACAGACCTTCAAGTCCCAGAAAGAAATGGAGGCTGAAAACCAAGAGAAGAATACTGATGGAATAACTCCTTATTCTACAGCTTATCAAATTGCTGCCTCTTATCTGCATTCTCATACAAAGAGCCTTCTTAAGTCCTCAAAGACCAATACGAGTGATAATTTATCACAAGTAGGAGAAAGTGAAGTTGCTGAGGATGTTAGTATGTTGCATGCAAATGCTGATCCTGTTGTGGTTGCTGCCAAGGATGAAGTGAAACAGTCGTCTGTTGCAGATAATGATTTGAACTCAACATGTTCATCACCTTGTGAATGGTTCATTTGTGATGACAATGAAAACAGTACAAGATACTTTGTCATTCAGGTTCATGGGCCTACTATATATATATATAAGCCATTCCAATTATATATCGCTTAATTTTGCGTTATAGTTATATATGGCCTAGACTCTGATGATGGTGGTTCTTAATTGCAGGGCTCGGAATCGCTTGCATCATGGCAAGCCAATCTACTTTTTGAGCCTATTCAGTTTGAGGTGAAACTTTATTATTTAGCTTCCTAGATGTACATTTAATTAGTTGTTATGGAATTTAAGTGATGGTGTAATTAAATTAATTACTGGTGATCAGGCACAGGTGGATGTAATTGTACATAGAGGTATATACGAGGTGGCAAAGGTGGTTTATGAACAGATGTTGCCTCGAGTCCATGAACATCTTCAACGCCATGAGAATGGTACTGCAACGGTCCGTTTAACTGGTCATTCTCTTGGAGGAAGCTTATCTTTGCTTATAAACCTCATGTTATTGATAAGACGACAGGTTCCTGATCCTTCATGTTTACTACCTGTTATTACATTTGGTGCACCATGGGTTATGTGTGGTGGAGATCACCTGCTTCATAAGCTTGGATTACCAACAAATCATCTCCAGGGAATCACAACCCATCGTGACATCGTACCCAGAGCCTTCTCTTGCAACTTTCCCACTCGAGTAGCTGACCTTCTCAAGGCCGTAAATGGGAACTTTCGAAATCACCCATGCCTCAACAACCAGGTATATATGATCCTTCCCTCTTAATACATATTATATAGAATTTTGATGTTATTTTATTCCATAAAAGAAATGTGAGAAATTTATATTTATGCATGCAGAATGTGTTGTATGCTCCAATGGGGGAGTTATTGATTCTGCAGCCGGATGCAAAAGTTTCTCCAAGCCATGAGCTTCTTCCTTCAGGCAGTGGTTTGTATGTTTTGAAGTGTGAGGCATCGGAGAAGCAAACCAGAGCTGCACAGTTGGTTTTCTTAAACACACCACACCCATTAGACATGATTCTTAGCGAGCCTTCAGCGGCGTATGGTTCAATTCTGCGTGATCACGACGTGGAAACCTACCTGAAGTCGATTCGGAGCGTCATCCGTCAACAATTGATTAGAAGAATGAGGCAGCGGCGGAGGCGGAGGAGGAGGCGGCTCGAGGGGGTGATGGCAAAACTTGGGGATGTGATGATGAGGTGGGTGAAGGAAAGTGAAGTGAAGAAGGTGTTAAGGGTATTGGATGATGGTTTGAAACAGATGCATTTGCTTGTGGTAATGTTGGTCCCTGCCACATTGTTGATAATGGAGACATGCACCAAGTTGGTTAATTGGAGTTAGAGTTGTTCATCCACGGGACCTCCGCTTTGAATAAAATCCAATGAAACTCGGATTACTAGTAGAACTAGAAACCATCTCTAGAGTTCAAAGTTCACCAAATGTGAGGTATGTACGTTAGTATTTGTCGTACATAAATATTATATATTTTAGAAAAAAAAAGACCCGAATTTATTATATTAGACTTATTGAATAAAAAAATAAGTTAGGCCTGATCCAGGGCCGAACGGGACCCTAAACTCTAGTTGAGATGTTATGTGTTAATTCCATCTTTCCTACTTCTCCCAAGACCTAACAAATGGCTAGTTTTTGGCATATGTTGGGTTGGCCACGGGCCTAAATTTAGGTCATTTTAGAAAAAGGGTTTGCCTTGTGCCGTGTCGTGTTAATACAATTATTAACGTAAGAAAACCTAATCTATCGCAATTAAATGTTCTCTCATAAATAATGTATATAAAGACGAATGATCGTGTGAGAAGGGAATTTATACTGAGAAGCGTAAGAAGAGATCTTAACCCCTGATCACTTTTAATCTCATACTTACCCGTGAATTGCACTTCAGAAAGAAATTGATCTGGTACACTTAATAAGTGTTGACATTCAATTACAATTGATCCAGGGTGAAGATTTCTTTTCATCATAACTTCTCTTCTCATCGGAACACAACCCTAGGGCTAAATATATGAAATAACAATTTACATTTACAAAAAAAAATTATTATAGCATTGTACTTTCATTTTTTCTTGTTACAACAATGTATTTTCAAGTAAATTGTTATTTCATACAATTTTACCTAATATATGTGAATTAAAAACTAATTTTAGTGCTAGAAAAAGAATATGTTATTGTATTTTTATTTTGAGAGATCCTAACAACATTAAATCATATATCATTTAACAAACTTAAAATCATTTGAACATGACGATGAGAAATTTGAGCAAAGATTACGAGGAATTTGTGAATTATAAGAATGTTGTCCGTGCGGATGGCGTAGCCGCTACTTTTACAATCCTATTCATGTTGGTCATAAACAAAAAAACATTTTAAGCAAAAGGTGTAGGCTCGCGTCTTCAAGTTTCGTCCCTCATCAAAAACGAAAAGGATGTTGAACAAATAAGCAACCCATGTTATTAAACGTGTCCCTCATTAAGCACTTGATGTAATATATTTATAACACTACCAGTCGGTACTATAATTACTGAGATGTGATTATAATACCAAATGAGAATTAGTTGTCCAATAGTTTTTTCTTGTTTGTTTCGTCCTTTTCAATGTATATGGTTATGCCGAGTTTCTTGATAAGAGATTAGGCCTTGTTTGTTTTTTTATAAAACCACTATTATCAGTCTCTTATGTTTGATTCGTTAAAAGGTGAAGCCATTCAGACTGTTTGTTTATTTCAATTTTTCAAAGGTACTCGTATCTTTTTTTTTCTCTTATCTGGTAAGAGGTAAACCAACCTCTTATTGTTCTTCAAGCTCTCAACAACTGTGTTTCTCAATTGATTAACATTAATCGATCCTTACTAAATCAATCCTCACATCTCTCAGTTAATGTATTTTAATAGGATTTAAATGTGTTAAACACTGTTAATGACATTTTCATTTAAACGAATGCTAATTATATAAAAATAAACAAATTCGGACGTTTATCAGTTTACAAAAATAAACAATCTTATTGATTCAGAGTTCAGCATCACCTTTTATAAGTCAAAAGTGAAATAAGACTTCAGACTTCAAGAGCTCTTAAAAACGAGACGCCACCTTAGTATGGGAGTCCCGTATCATCTAGATTTGAACTATTCTTCGACGACATGTATATGCTGGAACATTTGCATAACCTTACTTGCCATTGCAAGTGTATGCAAATGAGCAACTCTATCATGATAGACGTCAAGAATGTACTTTGTAAGAGTGATCTCTCTTTGAAGAAGTTTATACGAAACCTCCTCTTTAAGTGTCTCATCCATCCAACTACATTCGTTGTTTATGAAATATGTACCTAGAGCCTAGTTTGAGAAAGTTAGTACTAACCATCCGATCCTTAGGGTTTATGGCCAGCAACAGTGATTCATGCTTCTTTACCAAAACCATTAAGATTTTCATGATTTAGATGGAGACAAAATTATAGCAAGTGTGTTTGATTGAGTATGGAATAAATAAAGATGCAGAGTTGGAAATTGAGAAAAGAGGCGTTGGTTTTAGTAGAAAATGGCGACGTCACTTTGGGAGTGGTTTGGTTCCCAATAATATATATATATATATATATATATATATATATATGTATACATATATGTATATATTCACACTTTTCCTAATTTCTTGTTTACACCAACACAACTAAACGACACCACCCCAAAACGAATATTTGTACTCTCATCGATTTAACCAAACAATCTACAAACTTGCATTTTGTGAACAAATACAATTAACATCAAACAAAACAAGATCTAATCACTTGGAACTTGGAAGCATTAATATAATTAATTAAAAAGCAAAAAAAAGAGCATATGGATAAGGTTGGATGGGTTCCATTCCATCCACTTGACTCGTCGCATTTAATTTAACACCCAACTTCTCACTTGTCCTTTCTATCTATATATTTACCCTTTTTTCCATTTGCTATCCATCCAAACATATAAGCGTACATTTGGCATTTGGCATCATATCAATCAATAATCACTCACTCTTAACTCTTAACTCTTAACTCTTAACTCTTAGCTCTTAGCTCTGGATATTTATATTTTATATATAAAACCATCAATCCAAATACGACAACATAAGCAGTAGTAGCTGCTGCTGCTGACAAAATTTCCCATTTCTACAAATAATTCAACAATTATTTATTCAACATCTACCTGCTAACAGCTCAATGCTTCATACTTGATGGGAATGGCCCCAATCGGACGGTTACACCCACCTCCACCTCCACCCCCAGCCTGAGACAACAGACTTCCCACCACCGCCAGATCTCTACAGAACACCCCTTGATACACATTCTTCTTTTCCATGTTTCTCTTTTTAACACATTCTAATTTACATGATGATGATTCTTGCTCTTGCTGTTGCTCTTGCATTGCTTCTTGTAATGAATCCCTCTTCCTTTGCTTCTCTGAGGCTTCTTCATCCATAACTATTCTCATCAAACTAGTATACCCTCTTTCAATCAATCTATACAACAATAAACCAGACATCTTTGCTCGATCCCTTATCGAATCCATCTCACCTTCATCCGCAAACTCGCATCTATCCATAAAGCTAGTCGATTTATCAGGCTTATGTCTTAAGCTAAGCAGCAAATGGGCTCTCTCCAATTCTGATCTTGAACAACCCCTTCTCAACCCCATCAAACCGTAGTAATCAACATTCCCTATTTCCCCTGAACACACCCTTCCTTTCAATTCTTCAATTTTCCTCCCCATACACCTCAGCTTTCCCGGAATTTCACCGTATCCAACATTCTGACGTTTCCATGCCGGCCCAGGTAGCTTCCCGTCGCGAAGAATTGAATTGTACACGAGTTTCAAGTGTTCAAGATCGTGAAGCGAATCAGGGAGACAATGGATTGTTTCAAAAAGGGAAGCCCTGGTGGTTAGGGCTTCGATACAAGACGGATCTAACGCCAATGTCCGATTACAATCGGCAATGGCCTCAGCTATCCGACCGGAGGACCTGTAAGCGGCGGCACGGTGCATGTAGCACTCGGCCAGGAACCCTTGAGGGGAACCACGTCGACTATCGACGATTTTGGAGAAATGTCTAATGGCTTCACTGTAGAGACCGGCTTCCGCCGCTGCCATCGCTGCGGTCTTGCGGCGGAGGAGGAGTTTGATGTGGCTTAGTAGGTGGCAGATGCTATCCGATTCTGTCGTCTGTGGCTGGTGGCTGATGGCGAATGTCTCGCCGGAGGAGATGAAACTGTCGTCTGACCAGCAGACGCTTTCCCGGCGGAATGCGGCGGAGGCAAGACGTTTTCCGGTCTGGAGAAGGGCCATAGCGTCCTCCATTAACCCTAGGTGGCAACATGCTTCGCCTAGAACCAAGTACCTGAATCGTAGGATCGTATCAGAAGTCGCTACAAATGGATTTCACTTTTTCAAGTTTGGTCAAATAATGTTGAAAATCATACGAATAATGGCGCAAATGAATACCTCCATTGACCTTCTTGATCACGATTTCTGGCGATGCCATCCATGAGCTTCTTCTTCAAATCGGAGACAGAGAAACACGTGAAGGATCGATCGGAGTTAGCAGCGGCGGACAAAAGCTTGACTCGTTCTCTGGAGAGCGGTTGCGAGTTGTTATCAGAGGAAGAAGAAGAAGTGGATGAATCGTGAGCTTTGATGCTGGGGATGTAATGATGAAGCATCTCTGCAACTTCCTTGAACCTTCTCAAATGAAGAAGAGAAGTGGCCTTCAACTGAAGCGCCATCTCGGACCTTGGTGATACAGCAAGTGCAGCATCAAGTAGGTTAATAGCAGATGCAATGTTGTTCTGTTGTTGAGAAACAATGAGGGATCTTGCATCTTTCACATACTTATCAACAATCTAAAACAAAATTAGGGAAATGAATCAGAAATCGTATGAAAGAATGAGAATGAATTGATTCATACCTTTTGTTTGGTAAGCCACCAGTGCTTCTTTTCAAGACAACAGCCATGAGAATGAGGAGGAGAAGGAGAAGAAACCATAGTTGTTTGTTGGTATGTATGAATCAAGAAAGCTGTAAGATGGTCATATTATTAATTTTTTGTTTGCAGAAGCAGAGAAGATGGGAGAGAAGATAAAAGGGTGGGATTTTAAATGCAAATTAAGCAAGTGCCAGCTTTGACCTCAGACAAAGCTTTCATCCGCTGGCAATGGCATCTATATATTTTATTATGCTTTTATTGAATTAATTTTAAATAAAATTATGAATTTACTTTAAATAAAAAATGAGATTTTATAAAAGATTATTTTTATTAATTAATCAATCTGTTTATAAATTTAATTTATTTTTTGTATGAAGATGTATTGGGTTAGTTTAATAATAATGTGGTCATCTTGAATACAACGATGTCGTAGTTGAAACGCGAAACCACGACCAACATTTTTGGTTTTCGTAAAATTATAACCCTCCTTTCCATGTTTAATAATACATTATAATTTGGAAAATAAGGTGTATAAGTAATATAATTGTTTATTAATAATAACGTATATTTATTAGCAGTTTAATTATTTTAAAGTGGCTCGTAGATTTTTTGATCCATTATACATGACTGTTGAATAGTGGTTTCATGATATAGAAAATAGTTTATTCAGTAAGTTTTTAAGAGAAGATTTGTGCAAAAAGACAAATTTAATTAAAAAAAATACACTCATCCGAAATAAAAAATCTTTCTAATCTATACAAACAGATTAATTTTATACATGACTTAATAGAAAATCAACCAAACAACTATTTAATATTCCTTAAATACCATATTGAAAAAACTGTAGTTGTAAAATGTGATTATATACACACACATATATAGTTGTAGTTAAAATGTGTTAAGTTACAAAGAAGAATGATGAGGATTAAATGTGTAATTTTATATACAAGGTTGTAGTTATTGAATATGAGAAGGGAATATGTAATGTTAAATGAGTTGCGAATGATGTGATTAATAAATATTTAAGAGTTGTTGGTTGGTCAATAATAATAAAACTCTATAATTCACAACTAATTAATCATACCTCATACATATAATAATATGAATATCATCCTCTAAAAAGTCTAACCTATTATACCACCATGAAACATTCCTCTTTTCCTTTCCTCCATTCATATTCATATTCATATTCATATATGAAGAGCTATTAACATAATATATATATATATATATGTAAACAATAACCATTATAAAAATGATAGAGATTTGATTAATGAACTCTTGTTAAATATATGTACCAAAATCAAATCATTTTTGCAATATACTTCTTATAAATTTCGTACATATTAAACTAAAGAATATCATAAAAATGAATGGAAAATGCATGTATGATATGAATGGAATGAGGGTAAGGTCATATATTTGCATACACAAGCAATTTAATTACTAGTAGGGTGCATGATTCATGCAATAACACACATTCCATTGCATTGCTATATACATTAATCATAAACCATGCCCAAATTAAAGGAAACCATTTTTCAAGTTGGCTTAATTAACAATAATGCATTTCATTAGTTTCATGTTGTGGGTTGCTACCAATTCAATTATGTCCTATTAAATAAATATTCATATCTATATATATATATATATATATAGAGAGAGAGAGAGAGAGAGAGAGAGAGAGAGAAGCCAACCAATTAGAAGATAATATATAATGCATGGGTTAGGTTTTGGTAAGAAGTAGAATTAATGTGAGAAGCGTAAAATGAATATCTATCTTTGGATCAATCTCATTATTAAACGTGATTCATAGATGTATTTGAAATTAAAAGTGATTAAAATTGTTTTTTTGTTAGGAATGGAGAGAGAGATGGGTTGAAATGGAGGGACCATTGGTCCCAAGACACAGGGAGGTCTAGAAAGGTATCTATAACACTAATAATAGTGGCAATAGTAATGGTAATGGTAATGGCAATTGAAATTGAAATGGCAATGGTAGGTAGGGTTGCAGAAAGGGACGTACGTATATATGTGTCGACTGACCTACGAGCTTCTTGTAGGATTGGATTTCTTTTTCTATAATCAAAACAATATTTATGACGATGAAATTTAGATACATGCAAGTCAAGTGAAATATGTTAAAAGGTTGATATCCGCTTGATAGGGGTGTTCGTGGGTTGGGTTGATCGGGTTGAAGACATTTTAACAACTCAACTCAATGTTTGCGGTTTGAAAAATCTTAACCAACCCAACCCAAACCATACGGGTTGGTCGGGTTGATACTTTGGTACATTAAAATATTTTTCTAACCTTGAACATGTTATTTCTCTAATCATAATTTCTTTTTCATCATCAACCATTTGATACAACTTATTCATACTTCTTACGTATATCACATTCAATTAATTTTCTCAATTTACGCATATATGTTTACAGTTACTGAACATATTTGAATGAATTAAATAGATATGTGAATAGATTGAAAAGATGTGTATATAAATAGCGTACGTGATAGTGTAATTGTTTAGTGTATATATTAATAGAAATTCAACAATCATATTAAATCTAAGAAATAAATGGATATGAGGTTCATCGGGTTGGGTTGAGTTCAAATAATAGTAACCCAATATCAACCAAATATCTACGGTTTAAAAATTTTACAACTCGATTAGACATCGGGTTGAGTTATTTCGCGTTGGGTTGGGTTGGGTTGATCTGGTTGGTCGGGTTTTTGAGCACCCCTACACCCAGATATATTTAATACAGAAAATTACAAATTTCATCCCTGTGGTTACTGAAAAATTTGTATTGGATCTCTTAAACGAAATAATTACATGTACGGTCACCATAGTTTCATTTTTCTTATGGATGTGATCCCTTGCCCTAGCTCTACTAATCATTGTTCTTTTAAGACAAGGGTAATATTGTCCTTCTATTTTTTTTTATAAAAAAACACACACATACACGTATACATATAGCGTTTCATATAGTCAAGATCAAATTTGATTGGTCAATAATTGTGGCTTTAACTGATCAAAATTTGCAACTATGTGAAAAATAAAAGGGGTAATTTCGTAACTTTTATAAATATGCAACAAACGGGTTCATATGTAAACCTATGTAATTCACATATGAACTATATTTTTTTCAAGTATATAATATTTATACACGACAAATAGAACAAATAAACTCACACACACCCTCCTCACTTTCGGTGAGGTTTGAACCCTTGACCTTCTAAGAGGCCAATGACTCATATACCGCTACAACAAATACCCTTTATTTATGAATCCATGTAATTTACATATGAACAATTTTAATTGATTCACATATAAACTAATTAACTAATTCACATATGAACTGATTAACTTATTCACATATGAATATGTGTAATTCACATATGAACATGTTGTTTATATATGAATCAGTTAAATAGTTCGTGTGTGAACTGATTGACGGGATATAAAAGTTTATATGTGAATCACATTGGTTCATATATGAACTCGTTTGCCGCATATTTATAGAAGGTACGAAACTACCCCTCCATCTTCCGCATACCCATGCGAAGAATTTTTACAGTTTTCACGATCAAAGCCGCAAATGTTCGAGATGGGATCACTTCTTTAGTTCTAAAATATTTGCTACTTCTCAAATGAACTTGACTTTCTCTCTCTCTCTCTCTCTCTCTATATATATATATATATATATATATATGAATGTATTCATGTTATCGTCTTACCCACCATCGACGTTGACGATGGCAAGATGAAGATCAAAGCCATTTGAAGAAAATCCGGCTTCGGTGAGAGAGGCAGGGAGTGAGAAGATGCGATGGATGTCTGTTGGACGAAAAATCTTGTCGTTCAACATCCTAAAGCACGTCAATGCACATACCTTACGTGAGTTGCATGAACAAGCAGTGGCATTAGGGAAAAGAAATCAAGGAAAAGACGAGGTTCATCTCTCGCTATCTCTTCTCTCGTTTTGCTTCCGTGAGGTGATAAATTACAATAACTGAAGCAAATGAGATCGAACACAATTACGTCACAAACACTCACTTGAGTTTCACTCTTATTATTGTCAGGGACCTAATTCATAACAAAAATGAAACCAAAAGGATGTAAATCCACACGAAAAAAGAATGTGAGAGAATCGATGTATAATATTTATATAACCATGAGGACGATATGTGTAATTTATTGTATATAATATATGAAAATGGAGGGCATGTGATTTTCTTTCTTTACAACTATATATCCTTCTTTAAAGGGAATCGATAGCATATATAACATGGCCTAAATTCCATTCCATTAATATTCGAATTAATATTATATTAATTAACTCCAATAAATTAATGAAGGTCCAAGAGACCACTTTCTCTATATTAATTCTTATATGTATATACTTTTTTTTATTGCTAGTCATTATTTATTCATAAATAAGAAAATATCATTAAAGTAATGAGTTGTTTATTTATCTTTTAATAGTTTCATTAAGAACCAACATTTGAATCGTTAAGAGGTGAATTTTGTTTGACAAAAAAAAGTTGGTCTCTTAATGACTCTAAAACCATCTGAATGATTTTGTACATTGGGCATCTCTTAACCATTCAGTGCTCTAATTTCGTTGTAAATAGTTACCAAATAATTATATTTCAGTTTGCACTGAAGCATTTTAATCATTTTGTACCAAACCATTCATCAACTACCAAACAACCCCTAACTTTGGATTAATATGATGGTAGCATGGGAAAAATGTAATTGGTTGGCAATATTAGATAGAAGAGGGAGATGTTTCGATATAGAGAAGGACTTAAGGAAGTCTAGATTTTTAAAGAACGACGATTATTTTAAAAAGATTTAAAATATGTATTAAACATATAATTTTAATGATTGAATTAATAAAAACAGAGAGAACTCAAATTCTCGATGTTAATTCAAAATAATATATTATTAAATTCATGAATTAGGAAATGAGTAACGTGCAAGGGAAAAATGTGAAAAAGTTGGTACATGGCATCTCTAGAGATATTAAAATAGGAAAAAGAATATTACTTTTTAGAAGATTTTAAAAAAAAAAAATAGGAGAGAATATAAAAATATTTAAATTTTAAATTTTTTTAAAATTTTGTTGTTGAGAAAAAAATTGTTTTAATGTTTCATAATTTAGTTGAATAATGTATTTATCTTTAACTAAAATTTATTTAAAAAATTATTAAAATATTAAATATTTTAATAATATAATTAATGTTGAAGTCTTTAAAATAAACAATTTGTAATCTTTACAGAAATTTTATTTTTTGATTTTCTATTTTAAAAAAAATTATAAATTATCTATTGAATAACTTTTAGGTTCTATCAATATTGTAAGGATAAATTGACGAAATATACTTTTGCATTAAAAATGGCCAAAAATTGGTCTCAGGCTAGGTTAGACTAGACCGGTCGTGGTCCGGACTAGTGATGGCCAAAAACCGGTCCCGATAAGTCTCAAAGTTTTGCATAACCGGCCATAACCGATCCCGGTTCCGGTCAAAAAAGTGAAGACCGGGCAAGGCGAATCATAACCGGTTATGGGGTCCCGGTTTCGGTCCCAACCGGTCCTGATATTAAAAAAAAAAATTAATGATATATATTTTCAATACATTATAATATTTGTAATCGGTCCACTAAAATACAATTTAAAAATGCATTTTAATATAATTAAAATTACGTTGTCTTAAAAAAAATACATTATAAAATAATTAAAAATAAATTTATTTTAATTTTTGGGACAGGCCGGGTCGATCCAGAACTGATCCTTGTTTTCGATCTCATAACCGGTCCATACCAAATTACTGGTCCCGAGTCGGCCCGATTTAACCATCACTAGTCTGGAGTCTCTGGACCATAATCCTAGGCCTGATCATAAACCCAATTCAGAAAAGATATTTTTAATACACAAAGATAATTAATAAAATTTCACTACGATTTTTGAAATTTATGATTGAAATAAAAAATGTTTAGAAAAACTTGCATTTAAATTAACAAAAAGTTATAAAAATTGAAATTATATATAACCGGCTCAATTGGTAAATTTTGTAACCGTTCCCAATTTGGCTATTTTTAATCGGGTTAAATGTATGTAATAACAATCTACTTTTATAAAAATTTTATTATAGCATTATACTTTTGTTTTTTTTATTACAACAATGTACTTTCAAATTTTTTTTTTTATTAAGACATCGCATTTCCAAAAATCTACCCCATTATAGCAATGAGTAACCTGTTACCTTTTAAACCGGTTAACCCCTTGACTTTTTTTGCTTGTGTGACTTTGATGAGGTGATGTGGATGACACATTATTTTGATGACTTAACTAAAATAAAAATAAAAACATATTTCAAATTATTATTAGTGATTTTCATTTTTCGTTGCTATGATTTAAAAAATATTTAATTTTTTTGACTTTTTCTTATTAAGTTGCATACAAATTAAATATTCTAGAGTAAAATATTTATTAAATAAATATGATACATTATTTTCTTGTTTGTAAAAAAAGTAACACTTCTTATTTTATATTGTTCAAAAAAATACTTATCTTTTTAAAGTTCTCTCTAAAATGTTAACGAAATAAATTGTGATTTACAATTTTTTAGTATTGTATGTTCATAAATAATTCAAAAAATCTAATTGATTTAATATATTTATACGTCAAGTAGAAGTTTTTGAACAAATATAATATATTATTTAAAAGATAACATTTTTTTGGTAAAAAAAAGAACAATTCTTATTTATTTTTCAAAAAACACACATTTTTTAAAAATATTATAGAGATAGGTTATCTTCTGCTAGTTTTATCAATATTGGTATATTAATGAATAATTTAGATTTTTTTAATTCATTTAATATATTTATTAAATAACATGTAAAATATCTAAATATTAAAATTAAAAGTACATTGTTTAATAAGAACTAATAGATGATATAATAAAATAATTTTAAAAATACAATGTTGTAATAAAAAAGTCATATCATTATAAATAAATGTGAACAACCTACGTGAACAATGAAGTGACATGAAAACTTGGGATAATAAGTAAATTTAAATCAAAAGGTTAGCCAATGCTATAATGAGTAAACCTTTTAAAGTATAGTTTCTTAATAAAAAATAGTTTGAAAATACGTTATTGTAATAAAAAAAAAATAAAGATACAATGTTATAATATATTTTTTTTATTAAAATAGATTGTTATTTTGTGATTTTTATCTTTCTAATTTGCAATTTGTGTAGCGGTTGAATGGGCCTCGAATCATCTTACAGGCCCATGTTTAGATTCTATCTTTCCACCGGCGGGAACAATACTTGCTTCCCAACCAAATAGACGCCACCGTCATCTGCTGCTGTCTACCTCCTCTCCTCATCAATCTTCAAATCGGGTATCGTCTTTCTATAACCTCTCCCTCTCCATTTCAGCATCTTACTTTTCCTCAAATTTCATCTATCTTCGTTCTATTTAGTTATCCGCAATTCATCTTTTTAGTGTTTCATTGTATCATGTTTGTCTCCTTCAAATTCGTGGATTACATGTAATTTGTTTTACACCGTTGCTACAGAAAGTTAATAGATGAATCACCGACAAGGGGATTGTGATTCTAGGGCTCTTTTGGGTCTGTAACTGTTACCATGCCCGATTTCAGAATCTCCCTCTTATGCCCTAATTGCCAAATTACCAACAATTTGTGGCAAATATCAAGACAAAGCTGAAACACAATTTTCTTAACAATTATATTATAAGAATATTGATAAAAAATGATAAGAATTATCTACCCAATTTCCATTGTTTTGCCTGTTTCTGCATCATTCCCTAATTGAATGAGCTGAGCAACAATTCTTATTGCTAAGCTATGCAGATTCAAGTTCTAACTTCTAACCAGTCAGAAGATCCATACATCCTTCTGTCTGGTATTCAAGACATGATTCTTGAGTAGTTTATAATTTGGGAAGCCTTTGGGTTTTGTATGGCTGTTTGGGGAGGAAGAACAGGGTCACACATATGCCAAAGTCCAACCAGGCACGGTAAAGCTGCCTTTCCACAAAAATCTAGGACTTGATCACCCCTAAAGTCGACTGAAGGGAGAGAAGATGTTTGACATCACCGATGTGAAGACTATGTTGACCCATAGGAATTCTTCTAATTCCAGACCTATCAACAACGCTCAAGAACTTGCACACATGAATGTTTATAGGCACCCTCAGCTGTGTCCCTGCTGGTACTTGCACCTTCTTAAAGGCAACCAACTGTTTGTGGGGACCCCAGTGACCAACTGGTGGGGTCGAGTACACAAGCAGTGTGTGGGACCCATCTTTAGAACCCGCGTTCCTCACATCCACTTGTAGACCGAGAGACAGCCTGCCACACTTGGCATGCGTTACCCTTATTGCATTGGTGGATATGGTTGTATTTTTGTGGCGCCCATCCACTGGAACTGTAAAAATTGCAGGACCACTGGCGAGCGTCTGGATGAAATTTGAGTAGCTGAATCCATGCCCAAAAGGATAGACGACTGGGCCTTTGTAGAAACGATAGGTCCGGCCTGGGTAACCCCTTGCTAGGTTCGATCTCATGTCCATTGTTGTCATTGGCACCTTTGAGAGGTAATCTTGTGTATACCACGTCATTGGTAGCTTTCCTCCTGAAACATTTTTGATGATTGATGTCACTTGAAATTATAGTTGCTTATAAAAAAAGGACTGGACTATCACCATGGTGTTAGGGTACCTGGATTATGTGTTCCAAACAACACATCCGCAATAGCAGTGCCTCCAGCTTGGCCAGGGTAGCCGGCCCAAAGAATAGCACCTACTCGAGGATCATGCTCAGCGAAAGACACATCGATAGGCCCTCCAGACATGAGCACCAATATAATGGGTCCCTTTGAGGCTGCAGCAACCTTAGATACAAGTTCTTGTTGATACCCTGGTAGTAGCAACCCTTCTCTGTCTTTGAACTCTGCCTCTATTGACTGGTCCAAACCCATTACCAACACCGTTGCATCTGCTTGGCGGGCTGCATTGATGGCATCACCAAAGTGGTGAGCATTCTTGCAATTCACATTGGGGCAACCTGGCTGGTGAATTGTTTTTGTGTATCTCCCTATTCCTTGGAGAGGAGTTGTATATCCACATGCAATACCTAGAGAGGAAACGAAAAGAAAACTAAAATAAATAAAAGTTTCACAATAATGATCACCAAGTGTAAGGGCTTAGAAACTACCGGCATAGTTTCCAATCATGGTAACAGTAACATCAGAATTAGGGCCAATGACAGCAACGGTGCGGTGGCGTCTTGGGGATAGAGGCAGGGAAGGGCCATGATTCTTAAGAAGAACAATCCCTTGCCTTGCTGCTTCAAGAGCTAGCTCCTGATTAGCTGGGGTGCACACATCTCTTGGCCCAAGATTACCAAAGGGCTGAGCAGCGGAGTCTCCATCAAACATTCCTAATCTCATTTGAACTGTAAGGGTGTTAACTAATGCACTATTGATGTCATTCTCCTTCAAGAGACCTCGTTCAACCGCACCCTGTGTGTGGACAGCTAGGAATGGTCCACAGTCCAAATCCAAACCTGCTTTTATAGCATCTGCAGCAGCTTCTTCAGGAGTGGCTGTGTAGTGTTGATTGTCATAGAACACTCCAACAGAGTCGCAATCCGAGACTATGTACCTATTTGGTGAAACAATATTGAAGACATAGAAAGCAAAACAAGCTAGTGATGGAATGAATTCAAATGCAATAATGCAAAACCAGAAATAGTACCCATTCAGACGCCAAGCCCCACGGATGGTGTCTTTCAGAAGTCTAGGGTCAGCACAGGTGGGAATGCCATTGACTTGATTATAAGAGCACATAACACTTGCCACGTTCCCTTGCATCACACATTGTCTGAATGGCACTTCAAATGTATCCACCATTTCCTGCCTGCTTACCTGCATTGCATCATATAAACAAAAACACCATATATATATGATTTATCCAATTAGATATCATCTTTTAACTCATTCAATTCTTTTATATATATATAAAATATAAATAAAGGATCTTGTTTACCTTAGCATTAAAATGGAAGCGATCAACCCCACTCCAGTTATCAAGATCGTAGGCAGTGTAGTGTTTACAACATGCAGCCACTTTCAAACGATCACCAGGTAGGTTACCCTGTAGTCCCCTAACATATCTGGCAGCGTATTCACCTGCTACAATTGGGTCTTCACCAGGAGTCTCTTGTCCTCTGCCCCATCTTGGGTCTCTAAATATGTTGACATTTGGGCTCCAATATGTTAAACCTGCCCACCCTCCATTGTACATTGCTCTAGCTTCATCAGACACCACCTACATTACATGATTACATACACCCATACCCATATTTCAAATCCTTATCCCTACCCATAATAGCAACTCCATTCCACATTCAAGTAACAAGGACACTTTAGGTGATAGAAATAAATGTAGTCACTGACAGGGACTTGAAATGTAAATTAAAGGACTCCCATCATTTATTTATTTATTTCAACATGAAAGCGATTGCCAAGATTTTAAGTTTTTGTCTATAAAAAAAACACGACATGTGATGTAAACTATTTTTGAAAGGGAATATTATAATAAGTAGAAAGGTTCGATGATTAAATATGGAATTTGTATATGTATATAATTTTGTTGGTAGTGGAGTCTTTATTTTTGCTTTTCTCAAAAGTCTTGACAGGAATATGAGGGTAAAAATGACATAAACGCCCTTCCCATTTGTTCTTTCCAAACGTATGTATAATACTAATACTAGTAACGTGCATGAAATTATTATCAAGTAATGAAGAGAGAGACTCACCCGCCCGATTTCTTCCCATAAGGAGGCATTGAACGAAGCAGCGGTGGTGATGACCTGAGGGAAGGCGGTTGCGCCAGAGAAGTCACCACCGAACCTGGTTCCAGGACCCACATTAGAGACACCATGAAGTGCCTCTGACCACCACTCATACTCCACCAACCCCAGCCGTGGCACCGCCGTTGCATTGTTCACCAACAGCCCCAGCTTCTCTTTCAACGTCAGCCGGCCGATCAAATCCCTCACTCTATCTGCTATGGGCAAGTTAATCTTGCAAAAGGGTAAATCCTTGACGGCGGCATTTCTTGGGTCGCAGGCAAATAACCTTAGGGCATTTCCGGTGGGCCAAGAGACAGCCAAGACGAAGAGAAAAAGAAGAAACAAGTGAGGTAGAGATAGGGGTATGGTGGTGGCAGCCATTTTTTGGAAAACAATGTGAGTGAGTGATAGAAAGTGGGGAAGGGGCAGTGGGGTTTATATAAGGCAAAGGTAACAACCGGTAAGTGATTGAAGTTGGGTAGCAAGCAAGAGAATCGGAGCTCCGTTTGTGAAAAAATATATATATATATATATATATATATATATATATATATATATATATATATATATCCATTGGGTTTAATTAGTCAGTTTGTATAAAAGTGGAAATTAAATAATAAATAAATTGGTGTTGATGCAAGTTGGTTGTAATATAAAATATGTAGATAATATAAAGAATATAAATCTATGTACGACACAGACACTCTTAATTAGGTTTGTATTATTTATAGAGCAAAATATGCATTTCAATTTTTTAGGAAGGTACATGCTGAGACATTGTTGAAATTTCTTTTTTATTGATAAAAGAGAATGAAATATGGAATGAGAGTAAGTAGAGATAGAGAGGCATGGACGTAGGCGTATGTGGAAAGAAACAAAAGAAATAGAAGTGGAGTTGTAATTAAAGAATGAAAAGGGAAATTTTAAGAAAATGTGAATGAAAGGAGAGACACGTGGGAGGATGTGATTTGTGGATGGAGGGGGTGGACCGGATATAAAGCAGGGAGCAGGTTTTTATGTGAAGTTGCAGGATAAGGTTTTATTATATATGTATTTTAATTTTACCACAACATATTAACTATGGTTATATATATGATATGTATAGTTTCCAAAGCCAAAGCCAAAGCCAAAGGGGGTATGTATGTATGTAAAGGTAAAAGTGGGGAGTGATGGAGACCTGAAAGGGCGGTCACGTGCAATTGTTATGGTCAAAAACATGATTGCAATCCTGATCAGTAATATGCTTGTTATCTTATGGTAAATGGAAATTGGTTGATTAGGAGAAGGCTTGACTTGGAAGAGATGTGTTGATAATTATGTAATATGTCACCAACAATATTCCTTTCCTTTGCTTCTCAACCAATCCATACACACTACCACTACCACTACCATGTGTACATTCTTTCACTCATCACATGCCAATATGCCATACCATACATGTATGTTACATATATATACATATATATATAGTCTTTAAGAAAAATGAAGATGGCATGAAATATACAAGGTACAAGACAGGTTGATTGATGTTGCTATTACCATTACTATTACTATTATTATTGGTATTGCCAACCCTGAAACTAAACAAAGATTTACATATCCACTTGCCTTTTGCTTTTTGATTATTGAAAACATGATGGGCCTGGTGCCAACTTGCATCATCCTTCAATGACAAATCAAGCATTATCTCAAAATCTATACCAACTACACATCCATATTCCATCCATGATGTTAAATTTGTTATTAATCCTTTCCAACTCCACTTTCTTAAATTCAATCATCATTTCATATGTATATGTATATGTATATGTTTATGCATCTACCTTCATACATCATAGAATACCAAATAAAATGAATAATATGTAGTTTAGATGGTTGGAACAACCAAAATATTATCAACATTAAATGAATTTTCCTAATTATGTCCTATTTTCTAATGTCTTGTCTGGAAACCAGTTGCCTCTACCGGTTAACATGTTACGGTTTGCATCTTCTCATGTCCTTCTAGCTTTTCCTTGCGCAAGGACGTCTTTCAAATGGTGGGCTTGGAACTTGACACACTCATTTTCCTTCGATGATTTGTTGAATGGATAATACTTCTTTCGCATTTCAAGTTCAAAGAGTCAGCTCCGAATTGTGGTTGTGGATCACCCTTTATTTAATTTGGAAGCATCGAAACAATCAGACAAACCGAATGAGGAGCTTGATCGGTTCTTCACGATGCAGATTCTTGCGTTCAACTGGATCTCTAGGCATGTCAAAGGTTTCAACTTGTCATGATGGAATGATGTTAGATCGAGGTCAATATTTCATTGTCTAGTACGTTTTACACTCGCGAGTTTTGTCATGTTTCCTTGTCTTGCGTCTTATATAAAAGGTTTTTGTTCTTGAATTGTTGTTCTAATGAATTTTTTTGCTGTCTTTAAAAAAACAGATCAAGCCTTTTTAACCGGACCTTAAGGCATGGTCAAATTTAACAGGTTTTGAACTTTTTTTGGATGCTGTTTGTTTTTGAATGTTTCAAATACAGATATCATTATAACAACCTGTTATATTATATTTGTATTGAAATTTCTGTACCCAAAAATCATAGTTTGTTATTAACAGTCGAGCTTTTAGCAACCAGTCCAGACCTCTTGTAATTGGTTTCTACCTATCGCAATTTTAACATCAGACATCTTCCAACTTAACTACTCTCCAGCCTCTTGTAACCGACCCTAAGTCCTAACTGGCCCCAGCCGGCCTTGGGTCCCACTCGTCCATCTATAGTTGCTTTAGGAATAAGCGCTTACCGGGTAAGTGTTTGGTAAAAGTAGAAAAAAAGCTAGCATATATAATTAATTCACACACCAATGATATCCAAGCGTTTATATATAACTAGAAAGCAGAAACGTTAATATTATTTTGAAAATAAAGTGTTTAATTCAAAGCAACCAATGGCGGATCTTTGCCTTGACCCCTTTCTCCTTGATGGTATCCAAACTAGGCTTCCATGAAGCTTTCCCAGATAACTGCCTGCTCAAGTAATAATCAGCAGACCTGCCTTGCGACTCCATTTCCATTTCCATTTCCTTTTTCATAAATAAGCCTACTCCTGGTTTTGCTTTCAACACCATCTGTGACTCTGACTTGCCCTTTTTCACAGCCAGACGGATCCTAGCAAACAACGGAAGAAACCCTGTGTAGGCCGACACGAATGAGTTGGACGAACTGAGAAGCGCATTGGCCCTCAGCAGAAGGTAACGAGCTTCTTCACATGACATTGATCGCTTCATAGGCATCATCATGTAAATCTTGCTAGTCTCAAGCTTCAGGTCGGCAGGCAAAGGGGTTGGCTTTCTTGCTTTCTGATCAAACTCCACAACCACTTGCTGTGGATGGTCTAGCATGAGCTCTGCTACCGTGACTGGGTTCTCGTATTCTTGGAGGGTCCCGTCGGAGAGTATGATTCTTCTTCCACGTGAGGCATGCATATGAGAGATCATGTGGTTCCCCATAGCAATATCCAGAAAGTGATGATGAGTATGGTAGGATTAATTGATTGATTATAAATGGAATTAGTGTTGGTTAGTTAAACCGTTCCATCTTGATCTAGTACAAGTGGACTTGGTAAATAACTAGTAAACTAAAAGTATTTGATGTACGTGTATGTGTGTGTTGCAACTGTGTTACCTACATCTTCATGGTCTAACCTAACCTAACCTCCAATCATATATATAAACTCATCACCTCACTCATTCAATATATATATATATATATATATATATATATATATATATGTATATGAAAAATAACAAATAAAATATTCATTTTTATAAATTAATTAGTTGAGATAACTTAAGAAAAGTCGATAACTTTTCTACTTTAAATGATTAAGTTCCTAGGAATGAATAAATCATTGAACTTTCTCATTCCTACACTTTTTTTTTTTGTAAAAATAAGCCATCCGCAAACTTTTAAAAACGGGTCACTCCCCCTCACAGCCCCATCCTTGTATGTTTTCCATACCGCCCATCACCTCCGTTGCCCCTTCCAACGATCTTTCCTCTTTTATCTTTTTTGAAAATCTGGAATTAAGGGGCCAACGGAGGCGATGAGGTGATGGAGAGCGGATGTCGACGATGGGGTGGCAACGGGTGGCGAGGGGGAGCCATGGTGTTGGGTACGGGAGGATTGAATGACGTAAGATTTGGGAATGGTAAAACTGATTTAGGTTTTTTTTTTACTTTAAAATTTTTCTAGACTGTACATGGATCTTTTTTTGGGTAAAATAATGTTGATATCAAATTTCTACAAGTTCGATGATTTATTTATTAAAAATATTTAAAAACTTAATCATTTTCAATTAAAATATGATTTGGAAAACAATAATGAACAACATTTTAACTTAAATGTTTGATTTTAATTGGTTGAAAATTTCACAATTAATAAGGTTTTAGAACTAAATATTAATCAAGTTAATGTTAAATAAGATATATATCTATATCTATACTATATTATAAAGCATTTGTCTAAAACTCTTAAAAACTTTTAAACTCTTAAACTCTTAAAACTCTTAAACTCGTTCATCCTTAAATAATTCCATCCCTAAATAATTTCATCCCTATCCGATTTCATTCCATAACTAAATTCGTGTAACTAACTGCAGATAAACACAATCAAATACAGGATAAACATCTAATTTTAAATATAAAAAATCTAAAATATAATTAGGATAATCATTGAGTTCTAACAAAATACTTAAGTATTATCTTTATAAAATGTTATATTATTAAACCA